TATCTCTTAATTTGTCTTATTATTTCCTTAAAAATCTACCAAATTCTTAAGTATGCCTGACATATAAGACCAGACAACCATAATTCCTTTCAACTGCTTTCACCACCAATTTCCAAAATCGATAAAAACCCCAACCTTTGCAAACCACTCAAAAAGTAAGCTGTGTGTCAATGACACATTTTATAAGCAGTCAATCCTGTCAAATATTTTGGGGGGCAAAATTCGACTTAAATAAAAATTCGCATGCTTTCAACACAAACACTTGATTCCACAGTTACCCAGAGTAACACAAAAGTAATGAAATTCTTGTTTTAAAACAAAAAAAAATACATATCTATTGGCCACACACTCCTAAACTTACAACGCAGGGTGGTTTTCCTCCTAGATTATATAATTCTCAGGTATTTATATACATATTAATCATTTGTAAATGTTACTACTTTATGACAAAGAATAAAGAAGAATGTAGGGCGTGTACCTAAATATTTGCGATTTTGTTGTTTTTTTATTTCTACTTAATCTCTACAAGTTGCCCGTGGTAACTTTGTTCAAATTATAATTTCAAGTACACACACGTGATGTTTGTGATTATTGCAGAACAGAACGCTGGCAAAAAAAACATTGAATAAATTATATTCATTTAGAAAAAAATATCCCCTCATAAGCTCAATTATATTGTGTTTATTGTTTTCGTAATTTAAGGATTTAATTTGTAACAATCTCTCTACCGACTGCACTACTGTCTGACCTTTTTTGTTTACAAAATTATTTAACGTTTTTATTGCTCTTAATACTCAGGTGTTTGTTGTTTTGTATATTTTAGTTTTAAAGGGATGAGTGACAAGAGGGTTGTGCAGAAGTTTTGAAAGAAATACCGGAAATGATTAGTTAAGGATTTAATTTAAAGGGATTAACAAATCAACAATAATATAGGAAAATTTAAAATTAGAAAAACAATTGTAGAGTTTGAAATATTTCAAAATAAAATTTGATTTAAGCTTAAGTTTGGAACTAATTTTGACTAAATTTAAAACAGTTGTAAAAGATTTTCTTTGAAATTTAAAGGTTAAGGGAAAGTTTAAAGTAAACTTGTTAAAAATTTTAATCACAATTAGTTTCTGAAGAATGAAATTGTTCTTGTTTTTTAAATTTCTCTCGCTGATTATTTTGTTGATGAAAGGCGGTCAAAATCCATTTCAAAACTTGTTTTTAAACGTTGTCTAAAGATCATTTGTAGCGAAGAGACTTTCCGTAAGATTTCTAGATCGTAAGAGCATCCAATCAATATCTTTAGTTTCTTTCAACGAGATAAGAGTTTTCCCTGTGATAAATATCATTTTGAGCCGCTCTGTAGTTTTTGCGTAAAACCTATGTGAAGTCTTAAGCAGAATTCCGTTGATTGCAAGAGAAAGTTTGACAGTTTCAGGATAATATTTCCTAAAGAGAAATACTATCATGTGCAAGAGATAGACTAAGCTCATTGTTTACTCTCTATCTATAACTATTCCGACTCGGTCTATGATAGAACTAAATTAGGCTTCACCAGAGAGAGAAAGACATATGACCTTTTGGGGTCATATATGTAAGAAAGCAACAGAAAGCAAAAAAGCAATAAGAGAGCTCTTTGCCTAACTCTGTTTTTAATCAAAATGACAAAAAACCTTATATTTTCTCTTAAATTTAAAATCTCTTCATTTTAACTCTTTGCCCTCCAACAAAGAAAGCAACAGAAAGCCAAAAAGCAATAAGAGAGCTCTTTGCCTAACTCTGTTTTTAATCAAAATGACAAAAAAGAACCTTATATTTTCTCTTAAATTTAAAATCTCTTCATTTTAACTCTTTGCCCGTCAACAACAAAATATTAACAAAACCAACTTACCATTAATTGCCATATTTGCATTTCTTGTAAAATATTATCCATATTACTTTGACCTTTGGCGGTGGCTTTTGCGGTTGCAGCCACACTATCAAATGTTAAGCACGACGACGACAAAGAAGATTTTGAAAATGAGCATTTAGTTGTCGATGTGGAGCAGGAGGTGTTGGAATTATTTAAATGTGTATAACAGGTGGTTGATGATGTATTAAATGGTGAATTTGTGGTTTGAAAGAGATCATATAGTTCAGCAGCATTTGTTTTGCCGCAACTGCGGCATAATTCATGGAAATTATTATGGCTAATAGAGGGGTTAGTCGTTGTTGTTGTTGTCGAAGATGATGTTGATGGTGATAATAATAATGATGATGATGATGTCGACGTTGTTGCTATTGTTGTTGATGCTGAGCTGGAGGTAACGTTTGTAGCTGTTGCTGCTGCCATATTGTCTGTTAAATTTTGAAAACTTAACTCAGACTCAAAGTCCATTTATGGTGCAAAACAACAAAAGACGTAAGATAAATTGTAGAGTATTCTTATTCTTTAGTATATTTTTCTTAATGTTCTTTTTGTTTAGCTTTTTATATTAAATCTAAACTTTAAACCTTTTCTTTGTAGCTTTCT